ATTACCGAGTATTACCAGGCAAGTGTACACTTGACTATCACAGTAAATTCCCCCTCGAATTAAAAGTATCGTGGCGAGACCCGACACTTTTAAAAATTTTCAAACGTATCGTGGCACGACCCGACACAGTTAAGAAATTCATAATTGTATCGTGGCGAAGCACGATACGTTTAGAAATTTGTAATCGTATCGTGGCAGGACTGGACACGTTTACGAATTTCCAAAAGTATCGTGGCGCGACTAGACACATTAACAATTTGAGAATCGTATCGTGGGGCTGAACTACACGACACAATACAAAAATAATTATGAATTTCGTGTCGCATACAATGAAACTTGTTGATCAACATCTTGACAGTTTATTAATCCTTCAATAACATTTCAAGAAATAAAATTAAAATAAAATAGATATAGATTGAATATATATCAAATGTAAATTATTAAATTTATATTATATTATATTATATTATATTATATTATATTATATTATATTATATTATATTATATTATATTATATTATATTATATTATATTATATTATATTATATTATATTATATTATATTATATTATATTATATTATATTATATTATATTATATTATATTATATTATATTATATTATATTATATTATATTATATTATATTATATTATATTATATTATATTATATTATATTATATTATATTATATTATTTCCACGAATTTCTGTTTTCATCCTATACTGTTTATTTTCATGTATTTCTTTTTGTATTATCAACAACTTATTGTCTAGTATGTAAACAAACCACACTTAAAATTAAAAATAATTTTGTTCAATAAAATTAATAGATTAATTTAATTTATTAACGTTTTAATATTATTATGATTTAAAGAATTGAAAAAAATGTAAGACTTGATTACGAATTCAATATCAGTTTTTTAAAATTCAAAATGGCGGATCCAATATACCGAATCAAAATAACTAAAAATGGGCAAATTCGTCTAAACCATGTTACCCAGGGGTTTTCGGGGTCGCTGATTACGAATCTGACATCAGTTTTTCAAAGTTCAAAATGGCGGATCCAATATGGCGGAAGACAAAATAAAAAATTAATCGGATTGTATTAAAAACCTATTACTCGGGGGTTTTCAGGGTCGTTGATTACGAATTGTGACAAAAGTTTTTTAAAATTCAAAATGGCGGATCCAATATGGCGGACGACAAAATAAAAAATTAATCGGATTGGATTGAAACCGGTTACTGAGGGGTTTTCAGGGTCGCTGATTACAAATGTAACATCAGTTTTTTAATATTCAAAATGGCGGATCTAATATGCTGAACAATTTTTTAAAAAGGATCGGATCTTTTGAAACTTGTTACTCGAGCGTTTTTTGGGACATTTTGAATTTTGAAAAACTTTTGTCACAATTCGTAATCAATGACCCTGAAAACCCCCGAGTAATAGGTTTTTAATACAATATCCGATTAATTTTTTATTTTGTCTTCCGCCATATTGGATCCGCCATTTTGAACTTTGAAAAACTGATGTCAGATTCGTAATCAGCGACCCCGAAAACCCCTGGGTAACATGGTTTAGACGAATTTGCCCATTTTTAGTTATTTTGATTCGGTATATTGGATCCGCCATTTTGAATTTTAAAAAACTGATATTGAATTCGTAATCAAGTCTTACATTTTTTTCAATTCTTTAAATCATAATAATATTAAAACGTTAATAAATTAAATTAATCTATTAATTTTATTGAACAAAATTATTTTTAATTTTAAGTGTGGTTTGTTTACATACTAGACAATAAGTTGTTGATAATACAAAAAGAAATACATGAAAATAAACAGTATAGGATGAAAACAGAAATTCGTGGAAATAATATAATATAATATAATATAATATAATATAATATAATATAATATAATATAATATAATATAATATAATATAATATAATATAAAAATTATATATTATTGTATATTATTTTGTATGCATATTATTATTAGTATTATTATTATTCCATATATACTATATTATAATAGATAATACATCATAGATAAGTTTAAATTAATTGAACAATTTTTTTTCATGCGACACGACATATTTATGCAGAATTATCGTGTCGTGGCAAGTCATGATACGATACGATTCTCAAATTGTTAATGTGTCTAGTCGCGCCACGATACTTTTGGAAATTCGTAAACGTGTCCAGTCCTGCCACGATACGATTACAAATTTCTAAACGTATCGTGCTTCGCCACGATACAATTATGAATTTCTTAATTGTGTCGGGTCGTGCCACGATACGTTTGAAAATTTTTAAAAGTGTCGGGTCTCGCCACGATACTTTTAATTGTTTTCAAACGTGTCGAGTCGCGACACTACACGGACACTTTCTTAAAATTCAACAACATTTCGTGTCCGAGACAGTCCCTGCTTTTATTTAAGAGTTTATAAAAATAATTTTTAGCAACCCCGTGTCGAAATTGTACCTTATTAATTGATTTGTAAATTAATTCTTAAAATGGCAAACAAAATCCATGATTATAAAAACTAATTATTTTCTAATAATGATAATATTTTTAAAAATTTTATGAATAAATACTTGGATAGGTTAAACATGGATGCGTTAAAGAATTAGAAGCAGCTATAGCGAAAGAAAAAAAAAAGAGAAAATTCGAAGAACAATTCTCAGATTCTTCATCACAGTCAAATAAGAAGCAAACTCTTTTGGAAAATTGAGGGGCTGATAGTAAAAATGGTTTAAAATAACATTGGGAGCAAAAGTGGGATAAGTGACTTGGGAGCAAAAACGGGTTAAAATGATTCGTGTAATTTATTGATAAATTCATTATATTAACGATTAAAAAATATTAACAATAGGAAAAAATGCATATTTTATTATAATTAATATTTTTTAATCGTTAATATAATGAATTTATCAATAAATTACACGAATCATTTTAACCCGTTTTTGCTCCCAAGTCACTTATCCCACTTTTGCTCCCAATGTTTTTTTAAACCATTTTTACTATCAGCCCCTCAATTGGACTTCCGATTCAAAGCTAGTTACTCAAAAAATATAGAATAAAAAAATTATGGATTATGTAATAGAAGTATTGTAGAAAAATCATCTTTTAAAGACCTAGTGTTACTTGGATTACCAGGAAATTTTAAAACTTTAGGGGAAAGAATAGATGTTGCTTTTATTAAAATGAATGCAAATCTATGTGAAGGACTTGAATAAATACATGTATTACAATTATATTTCACATTTTAATTTGATTCACATTTGATAAAAAAATAGAATTTCGATAAGACAAATTTTAAAATAATTTTTCAGTAACTTGAAATGTAACTTAAGTTACTTTGTAAGTAACTGTAACAGTAACTAGTTACTTTTTTTCATTAAGTAACTTAAATGTAACGAGTTACTTAAAAGAAAGTAATATACCCAACACTGTTTTGAATATTAAAATTTTTTTTACTTATTATTATTTTTATTACCTATTTTAAATATTATTTTTTGAAAACAGTTTTTTCATCACTGAAAATTACATGAAGTTTGCATTAAAATTCAAGCACCTGTTTGTAATTATTTTAAATATTTTTTTATTAGGGTATGTGCATCAATTACGGCGCGTTCATAAAAAATGATTTAAAAAAATTATTTTAATCTTTTTTTGATACAATTACTAATGAAGATGCACATTTAAACAATTATTAATTTAATTATTTGAGATCAAATTTTTTCCCTCGCCGTAATTGAAACATTTTTAAGATTTCCATTGACTCCAATTACGGTGGGCAAAGTATCTTCAAAATACACGTAATTTTGGTCACCGTAATTGAGACACCGAAACTGATACAAGCGCGCCATAATAGAAAATTAAGGTATTAGTTTTAATTTCTCATATTTGTTTAAATATATGAGATATGTGTTTTGACTCGAACCGCGCCGTAATTAGTGCATTTACCCTATTTATTTCGAAAAAATCGATAGAAATTTTTAAACACTTTTTTTTTAAACTAAGGTTTCAATAATAATGAACTTGGTATCAATTTTCGATAATTTTAATCATTTTTCTAAATCATGACACAAGTTAACATACTTGGTCAATTAGACCCAGGAGAAATTACTTCAACCTCTAATATCTTTGACTTTGAATTTTTTTTTAGTGTCAAAATATTATTTTCAAAAATAGAATTTTTTTTCATCAATTAATTTATCGATAAAATTTGGTTATTTTATATACAAAATATTAAAAACAATAATTAGTATGCAATTACACATTACTTGAAAAAGAACATGTGTTAATGGAAGTTTAATGATATAAAAAAGTGAAAAATTATACTAAATTTATTTTTTTCAAACTCATTAAGCGATATATTCTCTCTGAGAAGGATAAAAATAAAGTGTTTATCTATTGTATAGGTCATTAGACGCGGAATTTTATATAAGAATTTTCTAATAAAAATTTTCTAATAGTATTAAAAAACAAAATATTCTCTATTTTTTATTTGAAATTTAAACAAAAATGCGAATAATTAAAAAAAAAATTAAATAAACGTAACATAAGAACAGAAAAAAAGTTATTAATAATTTACAAACAGAAACTCGTTCACTCAGTTAACATTGGAAAACAAAATATTCTCTTCTTTTTTAATTCAAAAATTTAAACAAAAATGAATAATTAAAAAAAAAAATGTTTAACGAAAAGTATAAGTATAAAATAATAGAAAAAAAAGTATAAATAATTTACGAACCGCAGCTTGGTCACTCAAGTACTTAAAAGTTAAATATATAAAACGCATGTGTTTTCTTTGACTTTCATGTCTGTTTTCAATTTTTTCTTTTTCTATGTGCAAGGGCTTTTATCTTTATCAAAAGAAAAAAGAGAGAAAAAAAAACAAGAAAAATCAGAGAAACTAGATAAGCCGCGTCTGCGCTGATAAAGCTTCCAAATAGAACAGGTCGTGAGTTTCCTCAGGATATATCAGTGTGCGGACCGCCACCACGCGTCGCGGCTGCTTTCGTGCAATTTCCTGTTGCCAATTTTTTTCGCGAGTTCGGAAAAAAGTTTAGGCAAATTAATAAGAAATTTAAAAAAATTAATTACATTTGTCAAAAAAAAAAATGTAGTTAAAATTGACAAAAAAAAAAAAAAAAAAAACAATTAACGATTTATAGTTATAAAAAAAATGTTACTATAAATTAAAAAAAAAATGATTAGTTAAAAAAATTCGAAACATTTAAATAAAAAAAAGTAAAATAATTTATTAATCGTAATAAACAATTTACACTTGAACTACAAGTTTTTTTTTTATCAATAAATATACACTGCAATACAAAATTTATTCGATTCAAATAATCGAGACTATTATTAAATAAATATTTCTATCAAATATTATTTTTTTTAATTAAATAGTATTTATTTTAAATGCTAAAATTTCGATCTAAATTTATTTTATAATACTCGATTATTTGAATTAAATAAATTTTTCACAGTATAAAGTTTTTAAAACTTTTTTTTTGCTTATTGACATTTTTATTAAAATTTAAAAAAAAAAATGAGAAATTGAATAAACACTGATAGCAATGTGATATAGATATTTTTTTTCAATTTGAAAATAAGTTGGATTATTTTGTATTGTAAGTAACAAATACGATTGGGAAAAAAAGAAATTCAAATGTGTAAAATAAAAATAAACAAAAAAAAAATGATACCAATTTATCTATCAATGTTTGATTATGATAAATTTCTGTTATTGAATTATTATTTGATATTTTAAGTATTGAAAACTTGTTGACAAAGTTATTTAGTTCCGTTGAACTATATGTATATAAATTACCATATGAAAATATTGTATTTCAATAAATAAATAATTTATAAAAAAAATTATTTTACTAAAACAATACATTTTTCTTGAGTAATTAACAAAAAAAAAAAAAATAATAATAATAATTGAAATAAAAAAAATCGTAAACTTATTAATTCGAATTTGGTACACTTTTATTTCTCTATGAATCTATTAATTTAAATTATAATTACATTTACAAAACAATGAAAATTTTTATTTATTTACTAATATAAATTATTATACGTTTTAAAAACATTTAAATTTATATTAAAAGAATGTTTTGTTATTTTTTTTTAATTATAATTTTAATTATAAAAATAATAAAACATGTTTTTAATAAAAATTTATTTCTATTAAAAATAGAAATTATTTCTAAAATAAAAAAGAATTATTATTTAAATGTAAACGATTAATTATGTAATTAAAAATTGATGTCTTTGTCCCAATAATAATTCAATAATATAAATTAAAATTTATGGGATTTTTTGGGGAACACACAAAAGATAAAAGAAAATCTTTTAACTTTTCGAGGTACCGCTCTCCTATATCAGAATTTATTAATCTATGAAAATTATATAAAAATTTCACATATAATTTTAAAATTATAGAAATTTTTTTTTTTTTTAATTGCAAAAAGAAAATACAATTAACCGTTAATTGTGCCAATTTCAAAATTATTGCGTGATCCAAACTTGACAGATCAATGACACTAAAGACAAAAATTATTAGAATATCTAAGTAAATTTTCGTATGATACGAATGTAAAGAAGTTAAATTTACTTATTTTTCATAAATGTTGGTTGATCATTTAAATAATTATTTTTAAAAAAATTTTATCGGGGTGAAAGGTTCGATTTTTTTTTTTTAATGAAAGATGAGGTTTTTTTTCCATAAAAATATATAGTTGAAAAAGTGGGGCTAGAATGTTTTTTAATTACATATTTTTAGAAGAAAAAACCTCAGCTTTCAATTAAAAAAAAAATCTAACCTTTCACTCTCAAAAAGGTCAAATTTATTTTTGAGTTTCAGTTTTTTTTTTGTTAAAAAAATTTTTTTCTTCAAACATACATATTAACCAATTGAAAGTGCATCAAAAAAGCTATCGAAACTGATATTAATAAAAAAAATTTATTTTAATATTTACGAGAAAAAAAATAATTAGAGAATAAAAGCATTTTTTCACCTATGACCACTTCACGTGATATCCCCCATTCAAAGGATATAAAAACAAAATTGAAAAAGCATCATTTCGTGAATGATTTATAAAACAGAAATAGATTTAAAAAAAAAAAAAAAATCTTTGGCTTTTCAATCAGAAGAATCTTTTTTTATTTGATAAAATCGAAAATAGAGCTAAAGTTATTAAATGTATTAAAGCTAACAAGAAAAGAAAAGAGATTCACTTCGAGAGTAATCCTTTTCGGTCGTTTCTCATCAGCGATATATAAAAAAAAAACCCTCAGCCTAATCCTTGCGACAAGATTATTATAATACTTTTTGAAAGATAAGCAGAATGAAAAAGTCTAATTCTTCATTCAATGTTTTATTTCCGACTTTCATATATATATATATATATATATATATATATATATATATATATATATATATATATATATATATATATATAATACGTCTTTCAAAACATGAGCCATAACGCAATAACTAATGACCCGGAAAATATACTTGAATTTTCTTTTAATTCCCATCCCTGACGCACTGATTTTTTCGAGATCATCCTTATTCACCTTAATACTATAAGAGATCCTACTCGTTCGCCAACTTAGGATTACTGCGATTTATAGAGTCTTTCCTGAAAAGCTCCTCTGTCACTAAATTCCTCGAAAAGTTTAATTATACCAACCAGTTGAGAAATTGTATTAAATTAATTATTAATTTCCATTAAAATAAGTGTTTCTTAAAAAAAAAATTTATTACATATTTTTTATAATATATTTATAGAAAATTAAATTTTACTTTATTTTTCGAGGGGGAATTTACTCTGATAGTCAAGTGTACACTTGCCTGGTAATACTCGGTAATACCTGTAATATCTGTAATATTTTGTAATGTCTTGTAATAATAAATATTATTATAAAATACTGTGTATAATACTTGTAATATTGTGGTATTATGGTGTAATACCTTAAAAAATTTAAAGAAAATCAAATCAAAAAATGTTAATATAAGTAAAAATTTTAAACACTTGTTCTTAAATGTAGCGCGGAAGTTGATGCTGAAGTATAGAAACTTTGCCATTTAATGTTTACAGAATCAAATCAGAAAATTGTTCTTTAGTAATTGGCCGCGAATTTTAGCTTTTAGCAACCTTACCGGAATAAGTAAAAAAATAATCGAGTACAGTAAGACATTTGCTCCTGTAATTACACCGAAACAAAATGCACGAGGCTTAGATTGTTTGTGTTCGTGATTTAAGATAGCAAAAAACAAAATATTAAACGTTATAAACATGAATGCCCACGGATGTTATAATATAGAAAATTATATTTGTTCAGTTCCTCGTCCAAAGTTAAAAACAAATAAATTATATTTATCGTGTTCTTTAAAAGAAATTTTAAAACATTTGAAATAATATTGTTATTTACGTTTTAAAAAAGAGAAATTTATTATTTTCTTTTATAAGTAGGGTAAATGCAGTAATTGCGGCGCGATTCGAGTCAAAACACCTTTAAAATAGAAAATTCGACATCTCTATTGTATAAACTCAATTTAAAACTTATTAAACTAAAAGGTTATGTTATTTAGATGTTAAAAAGAATGTTTAACTTTATAAAAATCGATTATTTAAACAAATATGAGAAATTAAAGCTAATACCGTAATTTTCTATTGCGGCGCGTTTGTATCAGTTTCGGTGTCTCAATTACGGTGACCAAAATTACGTGTATTTTGAAGATACTTTGCCCACCGTAATTGGAGCCAATGGAAATCTTAAAAATGTTTCAATTACGGAGAGGGAAAAAATTTGATCTCAAATAATTTAATTAATAATTGTTTAAATGTGCATCTTCATTAGTAATTGTATCAAAAAAAGATTAAAATAATTTTTTTAAATTATTTTGCAACACTCATATTAAATATAATAGTAATAATAGTTATTTTTTATGAATGCGCCGTAATTGATGCTCTCGTCTTAATTGATGCACTTACCTTAATATTTAAAAATAGTTAATTACTTATTTCTCTATTTCTTATTTTATAGTTTTGCTCTTAAATAATAATTTTAAATAATTTTATTGAAAGTTCTACGTATAAGAAAGTGTTATTTGACGTGTAATATTTTTTTGTAATAAAGGGGTAATACTCAGTAATATATGTGTAATACTTTGTAATACATTAATATTTTGGTAGTAGTATGTAATACTTGTAAAAAGTGTAATACTAAGGTAATAATGGTAATATGTGTAGTTGTAGTCAAGTGTACACAATTTTTACTAGTAAATTCCCCCTCGTTTATTTTTCTATTTTATAAAAACTATATCCTGACCATTTTTTTTTATTTCCTTACTTTTATTAGACAATTGAAAAAAAAAATATTCTTTAAAAATAATTGATCTATACACTCAGAGAAAATATTTCTTTGAATTTAATAAAACAAATTCCTTTGACTTGTTTTCTTTCATTTAAAATAAAATTTTCTTTAAAACAAAAAGAGCTTCTTAGTTTCAATGAAATTTGTTTAAAAAAAAATAAATTTTCTTTATATCTAAGAAAAATTTGTTAAAGAAATTAATTTCTTCGAATCAAATTAAACAAATTTTTTTAAATCAAATAAATTTTTTTTAAATTACAGAAAAAATTCAAAAATGAAAATAAAATTAAAAATATCGAACAAAATAATTTTTTTTTAAAATACCGTTTCCCGAAATAAAAATAAAATTGATAATTTTGTTTCATTAAAAAGAAAAAATAAATTTTTTTTTTTAGAAAAAAAGGAAAAATGATTAATTAGTAAGGAAATTTTATGCGGGAGAATTTTTTTGAACATTTCAAGAAAGATATCTAAATCCCAGAAAAGTTTTATCCGTAACGACTAAAACAGATATTCCAGTTTGCTATTTACATACATATACGTATTATGTATATATGGCATAATCTGTAAAACTTTGAAAACTGTTCAAAGCATATTCACACACACACACACACATACAGTAACAGCTTCTGTGAGTAGCCCAAAGGTATTTTCACTTTTTTCCCTAGTGGCAGAGTTTTACAGATTTGAAAACTAAAAAAAAAAAGTGCAACGATTGCAGAACAATTCAAAACTATATGCATCTATAACAAATAATCTTTAAAATTTCTTTTGTTAAACAAAAATATTATTGGATTTCTCATTATTTGTGCCTTATTTCTCGCCACAATGTATTTAAAATGAGACTTAACTTTTTT